CACACACACACACACAACACACACACACAACACACACACACACACACACACACACCGCATGCGACCACCACCCCACCCCCCCCCCTCTCCCCAGGTGGTGCGCACGCTGTTCCAGGCGCGCTGCTCCATGGCGCCCATCCTGAGCTGCGACCCCGGGGGCCTCGAGGTGCCCAGCGTGCTGCACATAGCCACGCTGGGCGGCGTCACCGCCTGCCTCATGCGCCACTTCAGGGCCAGCCTGGCGTCGCTGCCGCTGCTCGCGCAGCCGCTGTGCAGCCTGGCGCTGGGCACCTGGTCTGAGGAGGCGGTGGGGGAGGACGACGCGGCGGCCTACCGGCAGCGGCAGCAGCAGGCGGTCGCCATGATGATGGCGCGCCGCGCGGACAGCGGGCGCGGCGCGCAGGCGCCCGGCGGCGGGCCCGGCCAGGCCAACGGCGGGTGCGCGCAGGACGGCGGCGGCGGCAAGGGCGGAGGCGGCGGCGCGCTGCGCGTGCGGCCGCTGCAGGTGGTGCACCCCAGCACCCCTCTGACTGCGGCGCTGGGTCTCCTGCTGGAGGCTGGCGTCAGCGCGCTGCCCGTGGTGGACGAGCGCGGCGTGCTGCTGGACGTGTACGCGCGCGCTGACATCACCCAGCTGTGCCGCGGCAACGCCTACAACAGGCTGCAGTGGGAGGACGTCACGGTGGGGGGGGGCAGGGGGGGGGTGCAGTGGGGCTGCGGGGTGCACAAGCGTGCTTGGGTGGCCTGTGCGAGAGGGGAGCTTGTGGGGGAGTGACCGAGGAGTGTGCGCGGCGACCACCATTCGCAGGTGCACTTGATTTGGGGACCGCACCAGCAAGCCCGTGTGCCGTTTTCCTCAGCTCATTTGACTGACCGCCTCGTTCCCCCCTCCCCTCATCTTCGCCCGATCGGCCCTTACCGCCCCCCCCCCCCTGCCCCAGGTCGGCCAGGCGCTCTCTACGGCGCCCTCGGCGCTGCCAGGCTGGGTGCAGGGCTCCGCTCACGGGGTGGCGGGCGCGGATGGCCACCAAATCGGTGGGTCGAGGGGTGGGGGCTGGAAAGGCGAAGCAGGGTGGTCAGGCTCCCGGGATGAACGGCCCTGCACGATACTGAGCACCGCTGCTCCTGCGCCAGCCTACCAGCCGTGCGGCGTGCCCGGCCATCCGTCCGTTTGAACCCCGCGCCCGTCCTCCCGTGTCGGCGCGCCCTTCCCTCCCTCAGGGTTTGGTGCGGGCAGCAACGAGGCCGCCGTGCGCGGAGGCTCTCAGTTGGGCGGCGGCGCGGGCATGGGCAAGCCGGGGCGCGTGGCGGTGGCGGCGCGGGACGACGCCCTGCGCACGGTGGTGGAGCGGCTGAGCCTGCCTGGGGTGCGGCGGCTGGTGGTGGTGCAGCGGGGCACGGGGCGCGTGGAGGGCGTAGTGTCGCTCTCAGACGTCGCCGCGCTGCTCTTCATGTAAGGGGCGCGCGCGGCCCTGGGGGCCGGCATCGAGCGGCAGGCCGGGGCAGGTCGCGGCGAAGCCTGCCCTGCTTGCCCAAGGCGCCGCAGCGTAGGCCTCACGAGGCGGGTTGGCAGCGATTGTGCAGCCGTCGCAGCCTATTGCAGGTGAGCGTATTTACGCATGCGTTGCGTGTGCCTCCCCAAGCACCTGCTGCCGCACATAAGCGCCTCCTGGTGCCTTTTCTCGCACGGTCAATGTCGCGGCGCTCTGCATGAACGCCGATGTGGGCCGTCCTTTCTGTCTGTGCTGCCACTACCCTAAACCCTGCACCGCCAATCGCTTGCGGCGCTGCGTCACCAGCCACCCTCGCTGCGCCTGCAGCCACTTTTTGCTGGTCGTTTTCCTCTCTTCTTTTAGAGTTTTGGCCTGCTGCCTGGGTAAGCAGTGCTGTGGTGACTGTTGTTTGCTGCTCAGCGGACAGCAGCACCCGCGCCCACCATTCACCACCAGTACATGGTAGTCTCTCCCCTCTGTATCTAATATGAGCAGCCTGTTGCACACAACAAAATACACATCACGTACGGGCGGCACAAAAGCAGGGTCGCAGGGGTCCCCAGAACACAAAGCAAATGCAAAGGGGTTGCCGCGCCCATCCGGCCTAAGGTGGTGCAGGATGGGCCATCAGCGCAGCATACTCGTCTGATGCGTCCCACGCTACCAGCTCGCGCAGCCGCAGCAGCAGTGCCGCATCGTCACTCAGCGCCCGGCCGCCACACTCCAGCAGCTGCTCCACCTCCAGGCCCTCGGCCTCCGCCGCACGCTGCAGCCAAGCCCCTGCGCCACAGCTACTGCCGCCCGCAGTCGCTGCGCCGCCCACTGGACCGCTGGCCGCCACCACGGCCGCCACGGCAGTCCCCAGGTCCTGAGACACAAGCAGCGCCCCGCGGTCACAGCCTATGGCCACCAGGCGTGCCGCCGCGACAAGCATTGCCGCCAGGTCTCCGCCGCCGCCACCGCCGCCGCCGCCGCCACCGCCGCCCCCCGTCATGGCCCTGAGCTGCGGCGGCAGCGCCCGCCAGAGTGCGGCTGGGGCCAGCGCCGCCAGTGAGGCCAGAGTGGCCAGGTCGGCAAGGCATGCGCGGGGCGAGGTTGAGGCCTGGGCCGCTGCAGATGCGGGGTCCCGGCCCAAGCCACCTGTGCGCGTGCGTGTGTTTGTGTGTGTATGTGTGAGTGAGTGCGTGAGTGCGTGCGTACGAGCGCGCCCGCATGTGTGTGTGTGTGTGTGTGAGAGAGTGAGTGTGTGTGTGTGTGTGTGTGTGTGTGTGCGCGCGCGTGCGTGCGTGCGTGCGTGCGTGCGTGTGTGTGTGT